AGGGTCAGATTTGACTCTGGTTTCAGGGTGTATTTCTTTCACTGGCTCTGATTCCAGGGACAAGGTGTGTTTCTTTGGCTCTGCTCAAGGTGTGTTTCTTTGGCTAACCCCTTTTCCCTACAAGTTTCACTGTGTATCCCAAGCTGGCCTTGAACTGGAGATCTTCCTGTCTCAGCCTCTGGAATGCCAGGGTTACACTTGTGTGACACAATGTGTGCATTTAGAATGAACTTTTTGTGTCACCATGTTGGTGTGTGTGCATGTTCATGTGCGTGCAGATGCATATGTGTCAAAATGAACCTTTAAAGTCTACTCCATGTCATGGGCCAAATAACATCTGCGGGAGGAGGATACCAGGAAGATAAAGTGAGATGGTGTAGAAGCCATGTCCGAGCAAGGATGGTGTTTCGTCAGCATACTTCATTTTTACAATGATGTACAAAGACTGTCATAGACCCCCAAAGGTGCCGAAAGGAGTCACAGCAACAGTAAGCAAGCCCCTTCACTTCAAGCTGAAGGAAGAACTGTGACTATATAGGTTAGCCTTGCCAAAGCCCTTGACTTCATGTCTGAGTTTCTAGCCTTAGTGGAGCAAAATTTAAATGTACGCACGGGAAAGAAACTGCAAGCAGACTCTTGAAAAGAAATGATTGCCCTTTTTGGTTTGGATTATGAATACAATTTGTAGGTATGTAAAATTAAAAGAAATAGTTAGAATCCTAACAGAACATTAATTTAATTGAATAATGTTACCAGAAGTTTCACAGGGTTTATTTTAAAAATACATTTCTGGCATTTATGCAAAACAGGCAAATGTATTAAATGCAAAGTTAAACAAATAATGCATTCTTTCTACTGTAGGAGATCTAGTCAGAATCCAGAACTATTTAATAGTTTGTCATAAAACACTCAAATATCAACAGGCTTTCTGGCAAATAGGCTAAAATGTTAACTACCTAGTAGTGAGTCAGCTCTTCCTGGTGATTCCTAACAGAGACAAGCAAATTCCTTAGCCAAACTTAGACAAATCATCAGATCTGGGATTTTAGATTCTAGCATGCTATGGAGTTTTAAAGACCAGTATCTCTATATTGTTACGTGTGTGTGTGTGTGTGTGTGTGTGTGTGTGTGTGTGTGTGTGTGTGTGTGTGTGTGTGTGTGTGTACCTGGAGGTCAGCGATCAACTTGTGGGTTCAGTTCTTTTCTTCCACCATGTGCATTCTGGAGAGTAAATTCAGGCTGTCAGTCTTGGTGTCTTGGCGGCAAGTACCTCTTTGCCCACTGATCTATCTCATTGGCACCATACTATGCTTTTTATACCAACATCCATATAATCAAAACTTAAACAAATTATGGCAAATAAATGAAAACATTTATATTTAACAATGTTTTAACCTACATGGGCTTTATTAGGTGTTCCATGTATAGTCATCTGGTATGTTTAAAGAGTGAGCAATCATATAAAAGGAAATATGGTCATAAGTGATTGAAGTAATAAAATCCCCAAACTAAATAACATCTCATAATTCATGGCAAAGCATATATTAGATTTCATTACATCAGTATATAGCTTAGCAGTAAATTCTCCTGACAGCCATAAACCTGCAAGGTGTTGTCATCCTGAAAAATGAAGGAGAGGGAATTGGTGAGGGTACAAAATGGATAAATCTTCCCCAGCATAGGGTGCCTTGAAGTTCCAAAGTTGTAGTGCATTGCCCCCTAGTGGCCGAATTTGAGTCTTTGTAAGAAAGGCATTCAGGCTTTCTAACGAATCTGATCCATCTCACATACTCACCTAAGGCTGGACTCTAAAAGACCACACACACACACACACACACACACACACACACACACACACACACACACACACACACACGCACGCAGTGCAAACCGCTCTGCTCGTTCTCCTCCAGGTTGTCAAGGTTCTGTGTGTGAGTTTTTATGTTCACTTAACCTTTTAATTCCAAGCACTATGGTTATTTTCAAAACCACTCAACACACTTCTATTAGAAAAAAAAAAACAAACAAAAAAAACGTGGTTGTGACTTTGGAAGGATTATTAAAGCTCTAACTTTTGGACTTTGGATGAGTTTTTGTTCTACTTTTGATTTGTTTTTTTTAACCAGGCTAGAATTAATGCAGAGCTACAGGAGTCCTTGCGTAGATACATGAAACCATTACAACCTACACCTTAGCTTTTAAGATTCTAGAACTCCAACACAGGCACTGGGATTGTTGGTAAAGATTCCTTGCTGAACATATGGTACCACACATAGAGACCATCGTTAAATATCTGTATGCAGTGTGGAATGAGGCCAGCACCAGCATTTGAAGTCTGAGGTCCCAGCATGCCTTACTCTACTCCTCACAGTTTGGTGACAGGGTGAGTGACACAGCAGGAAACCTAAACCAGCTCTGTTGTAGGCACTTTCAGAGTTCAGTAACATGAAATAAAAACAGAACATAGACCACATCTCAATAACAAACACATCTTCCTTCAAGATTTACGAAGGCCACATATCCAAGCCAAGACCAAATGGTGCAAACTGGCAGGATGTCACGTGTTTAAAGTCCGAGAACACGCTCCGGCTAAAAGGCAAAACCTGGAAGCAGATGGGTTCTATCCTCATAAAAAACATTGCACAGATACACTTCCTCCTCTTCTGTTCTTATGCAATGGAGACTTCACTCAGGATCAGGTATTCAAGGGGAATGATGGAAGAGAGAGAGGAGAGAGAGAGAGAGAGAGAGAGAGAGAGGGAGGGAGGGAGGGAGGGAGGGAGAGAGGGAGAGAGAGAGAGAGAGAGAGAGAGAGAGAGAGAGAGAGAGAGAGAGAGAGAGAGAGAGAGAGAGAGAGCCTAGAAGAGATCCCTGGGGCCTTAGTTATCAGGCCTCAATTAGTTTTGACAGGACTTGGTGTTTCCCCAAGTAATTCTGTGCTGTAAGGCCTTGACATATAATACAGCAAGGACATCTTCACAGCGCTGTAAAATAGGTTCTATCATTAACCTTATCTCAGCGTTAAGCCAACTGATGCAGAGGTTGGTTTTCCTAAACATAAGGAGGAAGTGAAAGAATTCAGGCTTATGTGGTCCAACCCAGAGTCAGCTTAGAGGGAGTTGGTTTCAGCTGCTCAGATTTCCCACAGTGACTCGCACACAGGACTGCCCTGGACAACACAAGGACTCTCCTCTTCCAACAGTAGCATTGCAGCGGTCTGTTCACAAGCTCGTTCTGTCTGCTTGCTCTCCCCGGTGACCTAAATCCTGGTCCTGCTTATGTTCACAACAGAATTCCCAACACTGAAATCATCAAGCCAGTTGTGGTGGTCACAGCTTTATTCTCAGCACCTGGGAGGCAGAGGGAGAAGAATCTCTGTGAACTAGCCTGATCCACATAGCGAGTGGCAGGCCATCCAGAGCAATGCTGGGAGACCATCTCAAACAAAGGGCAAACAGCGGCACTAAGTGCATCACATCGTCTGATTTTTAAGAAACTCCTGTGGATCTACTCCCATTTTTTAGAATTCAGTAGCCAAGTGATGCAGGCTGGTAGTTTCCTGTGGATTTACTCCCATTTAGGATTCAGTAGCCAAGTGATGCCAGGCTGGTAGTTTGGTTTTGGAAGTCAGGTCAGAGGTAGCCCCATTGTTTTGCCACATTTTTAACCGTGAACAGATGGTTAGGCTGGAACCTCCCCTTCCTGTTAAATACAAACCTCATCTGTAGAAGTCCATCTCTTGGTCATTACCTTTAGTTTTGTTTTATAGCTTAAATGTTAATGTTGTTAAAGAATTACCTTTCTATAAGCAAAATCATTTTTAGGAAGGCTTCAACTCATTGGAGAATGGACAAGAATTTCAGGATAGATTTCAAAATATAATCAGGATCAGAGGAAAGTTTTCCTGCAAAATAAATTAGCTTTCTAATCTCTTAAGATATTTTTTAAATATTTTAGTATATTCTTAGTTGTTTAGGAAAGAGTCTCACTGGATAACCCAGGTTAATCTCAAACTAAAAAGCCAGCAGGACTATGCTGCCATGCCTAGCACAGCTGGCTTTGAAATACATGTTGTAAAAACCAATATAGGCCTCTGTTTGAACATTTGTGTGCATGAAGAAACATATATATGCACCTGCGCATTTTTATCGGTTTATGAATTTTAAATGTAGAACTTTGTCACCACCATCTGAAGCTCTTGCTGCACGTAGGCATTCTCTTCCTGTCCTGTCCACTGTAGTTCCAACACTTACATCTACCAAAGAACCTCAAAATTCAGCAGGAATGACTAATTTGTATCTTCATATTATCTTTGATCTGAAAACTCTTGCTGATTAGTACGTTAAGTTTGTGGAGCCTTGGTGTTTTTGAGACAGGTCTACATGGCCCTGGTAGTCCTGAAAAATCACTATGTAGCCCAGGCCTGCCTCTGTCCTGAATACTAGGCATTCACATTATGCCCAGCTCAGTACCCAGTTCTCAAAGCAGCATGCAAAAGAAAGAGTAATTTGTCTTTGCGTTTCCTATTGTTTTTCTAATGCCTTAATTTTTACTTTTCTAAACTACACATTCGTCAGCACAGGGTCAAGTGCACCTGTACACACACAAGAAGTTATATAAGCTGGGGTTGGGTATAGAGCGGTGTTGGGAGAGGCTCTGCCCCAAGCTTGGGACACCAGGAGTAAGCCCTCCCTTCTTTCCATCGGTCACTTTGGAAGCTGAAGGCCCATCTGTTCAGTCTAGTTGCCTCTCCCCTCACCTCACAGCTGTAGTTTAGGCCTTGCTCTGACTTCCCAATGTCTCACTATCTGGCTTGTATAACATGCTGTATCCTTTAGTAACCTGCTGGTTATCTAACCAGTGAAGAGATGATAAAGCAGCCCCTCTCGTCTCCAAGCAATTAAGCAGCAGCTAAAAATGTCTTAGAAGGCTGGAAAAATCTGTCAGAAAAGGGAATTCAGTAATTATCTGAGTAACAGTTTGAATTCAGACATTCCAACTATGATTACAATGGGCATTTATTTAAAATTACTTGCAGAGAAAAAAAATTCTTAAATTGTGATTGAGGTTGAACCAACTTCCTAAAAATATGCTGGACCAGGCACATGCAGAGACCTCAGCACAAGACCTCTTCTTCGCCCATCCTTCTCTTCTCCCCATAACTTCTCTGAGAGGATTCACTTTGTCCTAAAGAACAGAGAAGAAAATAACAGGTCATAAACCACAAATGAAACCCACCGCAAGGAATTACCTTTAGCTTGTAACTTAAGAAACATACTCCAAACTCCTAGATGTGCTTTGTAAATGCAAAGCTTCCTGAGGCTCACACAGCATAGGGCAGGAAGACTGCCAGTGAAGAAGCAAAGCCCACAGGCTCACCTGCGGCCAATGAGGCCAGAGTAAGGGTTCAACCCATCCCAGGAGCAGGAAGATCTCTCAGTGACCCTCACAGAAGTGAACCTTTTTATTAGAGCAGGAACCAGGGTACAGGGAAACAACGTCGCGCCACGAGGCAGACTCCTGGATTCTAGCTCAGGCCTTCCATACTAGAGACTAGCTCAGTGACTTTAGAAGTCACTTCAACTCCAAGTTTCAACATGTTATTCTTTAATATAGAACCTACAGTTTTCTGCTAACCTCATTTTGCTGCTGAAATGCTATGTATGTGGTGTGACTTGGAGAACACAAATGTACTGCCCGAATGAGTGTGCTTCTCCTGCTTCTGATACTGCATCCTGATTATCAGACTGCTGGACATATCAAACCTGCTCTAACTCCTCACACTTTGTCCACTGCTCCTTAGGCGAGATCTGATGCTTCGGTCATGTCCCGGGCTCTCCTAATGCTAAACAGTCTGCTGTTGGGTCAGGAAGCCTTCTTGCGGCTGCTTTCACATCTTCTGTTGGGATGTTGTCATCTCACATTGACCCTGTGAAAGCAACAGATGAACCAGATTAAGGAGCTATCTCCAAACAGTGTTTGCTTTTTCTGTTCTTTTGGTTTTTCATTTTCTATTTGTTGTTTGTTTTTGTTTTTTGAGACAGGGTCTCACTATGTATCCTTGGCTAGCCTTGAACTCACGGAAATTCATTTGTTTACCCACCCCACCCCCAGCCACAGCCCCTCACAACTGCCTTGAAATTACCAACTTCTTGCCTCAGCCCCTCACTACTAAAATTACAGGTGGGAGTTTTTCATCTGTACATGCACACGCGTGCACCCATACATTCCCACACATGCTTGTGCTCCTGTGTCATCGTGGGCTCTGAGCTGAGGCCATCAGTTCTGATGTGTGACTCACTGAGCTACTGCCTCTACACAGGATTTTGCTTTTTTTTTATTATCCCAGCACTTCAGCCTAGTCTATAGTTTCAGGCCAATCTAAGCATCCACACAGCCATAAATCTGGAGTCCAAGAACTCCCCCTTGTTCAGATCAACTGTTTCTGTGGGTTAAACCAGCCAAGTCCAGTCTTAACTCCTTTGCCCATCAGTTCTCTCTTTCTGACACTGGATTCTAGTTCAGTTCAGTTCAGTGTTCGTCTGTGGGTATCTGCCTCTGCTTGCATCAGTTGCTGGATGAAAGTTCTGTTTCCTAGACTCTCTGGCAGTGAGATTGTAATCTGAAATCCATAAATGAGTGAGTACATACCATGTTTCTCTTTTTGTGACTGGGTTACCTCACTCAGAATGGTTCCTTCTAGTGCCATCCATTTGCCTGCAAATTTCAAGATTCCATTGTTTTTTTTCCCACTGAATAGTACTCCATTGTGTAAATGTAGCACATTTTCTCTATCCATTATTAAGTTGAGGGGCATCTAGGTTGCTTCCAGGTTCTGGCTATTACAAATAATGCATAAATAATGCACAAATAAACATAGTGGAACAGACATCCTTGTTATATGAATCTGCATCTTTTGAGTATATGCCTAAGAGTGTAATTGCTGGGTCTTGTGGTAGACTGATTCCCATTTTCCTGAGGAATATCCATACTGATTTCCAAAGTGGCTGTACAAGTCGGCACTCCCACCAGCAGTGGAGGAGTGTTCCCCTTTCTCCACATCCTGTCCAGCATAAACTGTCATTGGTATTTTTTATTTTAGCCATTCTGACAGGAGTGAGATGGTATCTCAGAGTTGTTTTGATTTGTATTTCCCTGATGGCTAGGGATGTTGAGCACTTTCTCAAGTGTCTCTCAGCCATTTTAGTCTCCTCTACTGAGAATTCTCTATTTAGTTCTGTACCCCGTTTTTTGACTAGATCCTTTGGTGTTTTGGAGACTTGCTTATTGAGTTCTTTGTAAATTTTGGAGATCAGCCCTCTGTCAGATGTGGGGTTAGTGAATATCTTTTCCCAATCTGTTGGCTTCCATTTTGTCTTGCTGATTGTGCCCTTTGCCTTACAGAAGCTTCTCAGTTTCAGGAGGTCCCGTTTATTAATTGTCGATCTCAGTGTCTTGTGCTACTGGAGTTATGTTCAGGAAGCTGTCTCCTGTACCAATTCGTTCAAGGGTGCCTCCCACTTTCTCTTCTAACAGGTTCAGTGTGGCTGGATTTATGTTGAGGTCTTTGATCCATTTGGACTTAAGTTTTGTGCATGATGATAGACATGGATGTATGGGCATTCTTCCACATGCCAGCATCCAGTTATGCCAGCACCATTTGTTGAAGATGCTTTCTTTTTTCCATTGTATATTTTTAGCTTCTTTGTCAAAAATCAGATGTTCATACATGTATGGGTTAATATCAGGGTGTTCAATTCCATTCCGTTGGTCTACCTGTCTATTTTTGTGCTAATAACAAGCTGTTTTCAGGACTACCTCTCTATAATAGAGCTTGAAGTCAGGGAGGGTGATGCCTCCAGATGTTGCTTTGTTGAATGTTTTGGCTATCCTGGGTCTTTTGTTTTTCCATACAAAGTTGATTATTGTTCTTTCAAGGTCTGTGAAAAATTGTGCTGGGATTTTAATGGGGATTGCATTAAATCTGTATATTGCTTTCAGTAAGATTGCCATTTTTTACTATGTTGATCCTACCTATCCAAGAGCATGCGAGATCTTTCCACCTTCTGGTGTCTTCTTTAATTTCTTTCTTTAATGACTCAAAGTTTTTACTATACAGGTTTTTCACTTGTTTGGTTAGCATTACCCCAACGTATTTTATGTTGTTTGTGACTATTGTAAAGGGGAATGTTTCTGATTTCTTTCTCAGCCCTTTTATCATTTGTATATAGTAGGGCTACTGATTGTCTTGAGTTGATCTTGTATCCTGCCACCTTGGGTATGTTGTGTCCTCATTCTCATTGAATTCTAGGAAGTCTTTAATTTCTTTTTTTATTTCTTCACTGATCCAGGAATGGTGCAGTTGTGCATTATTCAACTTCCATGACTTTGTAGGGTTTCTGCAATTTGTGTTGTTGTTGAATTCTAATTTTAACGCATTGTGGTCTGATAAGGTGCATGGAGTTATTCCATTTTTTTTGTACCTGTGGAGATGTGATATGTTGCCAAGTATGTGGTCAATTTTTGAGAAAGTTCCATGTGGCGCTGAGAAGAAGGTATGTTCTTTTTTATTTGGGTGGAATGTTCTATAGATGTCTGTTAATCCCAATTGGGACACAAACTTCTATTAGTTCCTTTACTTCTTTGTTAAGTTTCTGTCTGGTAGTCCTGTCTAGAGGTGAGAGTGGGGTGTTGAAGTCTCCCACTATAAGTGTGTGGGGCTTTATATGTGATTTGAGTTTTAGTATTGTTTCTTTTATGAATGTGGGTGCCTTTGTATTAGGGGCATAGATATTCAGAATTGAGACTTCATCTTGGTGTATTTCTCCTGTAATGAGTATGAAGTGCCCTCCTTCATTTCTTTTGGTTGATTTTATTTTGAAATCTAATTTGTTAGATATTAGGATTGCTACCACAGCTTGTTTCTTGGGTCCATTTGATTGGAAAATCTTTTCCCAACTCTTAACTCTGAGGTAATGTCTGTTTTTGAGGCTGAGGTGTGTTTCTTGTATGCAGCAGAAGGATGGGTTCTGTCTTCGAATCCAGTCTGTTAGCCTGTGTCTCTTCATGGGCAAGTTAAGACCATTAATATTGGGGGATATAAATGACCATGGATTGCTCATTCTTGTTTGTTTTGGAATAGCTGATGGTGGTAGAATTATATGTGGATTTCCACCTCTTTTCTTTTGGCTGTTGGTAAGGTGGGATTGTCTATTGCCTATGTTTTTCTGGTTGTAGTTAACTCCCTTGGGTTGGAGTTTTCCTTCCAGAACTTTCTGTAGGTCTGGGTTAGTGGATATGTATTGTTTAAATCTGGTTTTGTTATGACATATCTTGTTTTCTCCGTCTATAGTGATTGAAAGCTTTGCTGGGTATAGCAGTCTGGGCTGGCATCCATGGTCTCTTAGTGTTGGTAGAATATCTATCCAGAACCTTCTGGCTTTCAGAGTTTCCATGGAGAATTCTGGTGTGATTCTAATAGGTCTTCCTTTGTATGTTACTTGGCCTTTTTCCTTTGCTGCTCTTAATAGTCTTTCTTTATTCTGTATGTTCGGGGTCATTACTATTATGTGGCAAGGGGATTTCCTTTTGTGGTCCACTCTATTTGGTGTTCTGTAGGCTTCTTGTACTTTCCTTGGCATGTCTTTCTTTAAGTTGGGAGAGTTTTCTTCTATTATTTTGTTAAATATGTTTTCTGTGCCTTTGAGGTAGATTTCTTCACCTTCTTCTATATCTATTATTCTTAGGCTTGGTCTTTTCATGGTGTCCCATATTTCTTGGATATTTTGTGTTAGAGATTTGTTGGACTTAAAACTTTCTTTAGTCGACCGACAGCCACCAAAACAATACAGAGAAACCCTGTCTTGTAAAACAAAAAAAAAATTTCTTTCATCAATGAATCTTATTTCCCCTAGTGTATCTTCAACACCTGAGGTTCTGTCTTCCATCTGTTGTATTCTGTTGGTTATGCTCGTATCTGTAGTACCTGACCATTTGCCCAACTTTTCTATTTCCAGCCTTCCTTCAGACTGTGTTTTTTTTTACTGTTTCTATTTCAGCTTTCAACCCTTGTACTTTTTTGTTTCTTGTAATTTTTGCTTTGTCTTTTCCTCTCTTTCTTGCATTTGTTGAAGTTTTTGCTTTGTCTTTTCTTGCATTTTTTTGGATTGTTTTTTCCTCCATTTCTTGCAGTTCTTGTATTTTTTGGTTTGTTTTTTCTTCCATGTCTTTAAGGGATTTTCTCATATCTTCTTTGAGGACCTCTATCATTTTCATGAAGTTGCTTTTAAGGTCTTTAGCATCTGCTTCTTCTGCAATGCGGGTATAGATTCTCTAGTTTCTGGTGGTGTCATATTGGTTTTTCTGTTGGTGGGTGTGTTTTTGTATTGTCTCCTTCCCATCATTTCTTCCTGTGAGTGCAGAAGGAGTCTCTTCCTCCCCTGGTAGGTAAGTGACCACTTTCCAGTGGGTGGGAGCAGGTCCAGTACTCTGGTGGCTTTCCTTTTTCATGGATGGAGGCCGTCCTAGTATCAGGACCTTAGCAAACTCTGGGTAGGTTGGACCCTCGCCTTGCCTGTCCCATGGGTGGAGCCTGGGACTTGGAAGCTGGCAGTCTCTGGGCAGGCTGAATCCCATCGGGCTGGGATCCGGTTCTGCTGTGCACAGTCCTCAGGTCTCCGGTTGTTCTGGATTTTGCTTCTCTAATGAGCAAAATATCTTTATGACTATAACTCAAGACTTGATAGAAATGGCACCACACATTCAAATCCCTAGGTAAGATGGAAACCAAAAGCATCTCACACCCCATTTATTTCTTGAAGCAATATGTGGGTCATTAAACCCACTATGAGAAAATTCCTATTTCATATGAACCAGTTCAGAAAACACTTCAAATATCTATCTTGTCCTTGAAAACATGAGTGGACCTTG